GACGCCGTTGGGCGTGTTGGCGTGCTGGCCGAGCACGCCGCTCTCGAACGACTTGCTGGACTTAATGGACTGACCGACCGCGGCCGAGGTCTTCGCGTCGTCCGCGGCGGTCGCGGTGTTCCGGTTGGCGTCGACCGCCGCCGACGCCGCGGGCTGAGACGTTTTGCCGTCCGGGTTGTTGTTACTCCGGTTCTGGTACGCCGCCTGGTTGATGTTCTTCGGCGGCCCGTAACCGCTCACCGGGTACACGCGGTCCGGCACGCACTGCCACGGCGTACCGCCGCCGCCGCCGCCCACGGTTCCGCGGATCTCTTGGCTGGACCACGTTCTCGTCCCGTTGGACCGTTGTTCCGCGCCGTTGCCGTTGCTCGTCGACCGCGTCGAGTTGTTGTAGGCAAAGTCGCGCGCCTGATTTTCCGTCCTCCTGTTGTGCGCGTTGTCCTTCTGCTCCAGATCGTGCAACCACCGCGAATGATTCAAAAGGTTCCGTTGGTCGTGACTAGAAAAGTTTGTTGTCGTGCCGAGCAATGTAGACGGGTTGGCGTAGAGCGCGGAACACGTGGCTTTTGTGTTCGGGTCGCCCGCCGACCTCATCATCATATTATTCAAGTTAGGTTGTTGTATTCTGCTGTAAAAGTATAAAAAACGAAATTGATCAATGGTTCAAAAATAAAATAAAACAATTACTATTATAGTCATAGATTATAGTACATCGAGTTTAATTAATTTTTGTTTGTGAAATGTTTTACGTTTAATCACACGCGATTCATTATGTGTTTCAGACGAACTCGATAACATAACACGGAGCCACACTGGAAACACACTGAAATGGTTGTACTTAAATAAACGATCGAATTAATTGTTGTTATATTGTGTTAATTATTTTGTGTTTTTTTTTTTTTTTGCTTCTTCAATAAATTACACCGAATGTTGTGCGTTTTCATTGTCCTACCCGAAAAAATCCTGATCTCTTGTCATTATAATTTTATATGGTAATTTTCCGACAATACGAACGCAATTATTTGTTACAAGCAGTGCTCGACTTGAGGGGGGACGCAGGAGGACGGAGTACCCCAAATAATTTCAGAAATTTTAGCATCCCCCTACTATAATTACGCTATAATCATAACGCTCAGCCAGTTATGGGGACGTCCTTTTTTTAAAGTAAATAGAGTCCTCTTCTTTAATTTTGCCAAGTCGAGCATTGGTTACAAGTAAATTTAAACATTAATAAGTTAAATAAAGTTAGATTTAATTAAGCTATATAAATAGTATTATAATATTTTTGATTAATCAATTAATGTTATTCCGATTTACAATAATAATTATTCAATTCGATATAAAATCTTTCACAACAAAATATTTTTATTTTTTTTTTTTCGTAATGAACGGCTTGTTTTCTATGGATGAGAAATCGAATCATAAAGTAATGAAAACAATTAAATAATACATTTGGAGTATGAATAACTAATTAAAATAACATGTCTAAGTACCATCAATATGCTATGGTCACATTCAGATTTTGTATGAATTTATTATAAATTTATAAAACAAACATAAAAAAAATGTAATTATTATTTTTCATTGATGTATGTCAATTTTTTTTTATAACCTTTGTTAAATTTTTCCAATTCTACCATAAATAAAATAACTAACTTTAAGACTAGAATTATTTTAACTTGACTTAACCGTTGCTTAATTTGCCCTGACAATTGTTGAGATCAAAATTAATTATTTTGACTTTATGAATGTTAAAGTGTAGCTATATTATTGTTACATCGGAAAGGCTGAATGTGTTTCAAAATTATAACCTAAACTAACCTAAAAAATATTTTTGCACCTAATATCAATATTTTAATATTAATGGTTGATTTTTAAGATTTAATAGAATTCATGTTTTCTCCAAAATATTATTATGACAGGCGTTTTACACTTATTGACAGTTCTGATTTAATGTGACAAAAACGACTTCCTAGTGATTATAATTTGAATGCCATGCATAACTTTAGGAATATAACTATAATGTGTTAATAAAATCGTGTGTTTTATTACATTGTATAAATATCACGTTTAGTTGGACCAAACGAAACGCATTAATATTATGATAAATTATTTTTGGACATTCACTTTCCATTGAGGAAGAAAAAAAAACTTCGACACGATCGATGAGGTTTTTTTTCTTTAGCGCATTTTTAAAGAGAAAATTTATTTGAACGTAATAAGTAATACGTGTCTCATCTTTTATGCCTCGCAATAGGTTATTATAATGTATAAAAGAGGGGTATTACTACAATCAATATACACCCTCGGAAGCCTCAATGATTAATTTTAAACGCAACAAAAAGAAACTGACAATTATATAAAGTGACAAGTTATATTTTGAATACAGGGGGAAAAAAAAAAGTTTGAAAACTTTTAACATTAGCTAACTTAAAAGTTTACAGTTTAATATGCTTACCGTAGTATTATTTAAAGAACGACGAAACATATTAAAATTTTATTTTTTGCATGCGTAATCTATCGTAGTAATTAAAAAGAGAAAATATTTATATAGCTATGTAATTAATACGGTTACCTAATCGATCACTATAATGGTCAATTGCGTACGGATGAATATTTCATCGTGTACAAGAAATTCACCTTCTTGGAAAATCGTTTTCGCACGTTAAAATGCGTTTTCAAGACGAAAGTCGAATCTTAAATGAAAATCCGTTGATATTTCGAATATCATAAGTCACGATTTACGTTCTAGAAGTCTTTTGTGGGAATCTAGTGGGAAACTTGTACAATATGATTATTTTGTAATTTTACGGCTATTTGTTTTAAATTTACGCACTATTCGAAAAACTTTAGTTTACCGTTCAAATGAAAACAACGAAAAAAAAAAAAATCTCAATTAGCTCTCCAAAATTTAGTCTGCTATACATATAAGGTTTAAAAAGGGTATTAAACAACTGTTCTCTATCAATATACTATATTATAATGAACGGTAACTATGCGAAAAACGTATGTAAAATATTGTTTACACAATGCAAAAGCGCACTAAGCAGTACATCGAAACGAGATATTGAAGTATACCGTAAATAAAATTACTAATGGTTGTTTTTATCATCTTTTTTTTCAGATTTATAAAATTGATTATAAAATAACGAATTTTCGATTTGTTTAACGTGTACATACGTATAAATGTCATCCAATTTTTTTTTTTTTTTCATTACAATTTTCGCAATTAACTTGTAATACAATAACAAGTAAAACATTTTTAATACCACAGATCATGATGAATGTTGGGCCTTGTTTGTTCTATGACTATATTCCATAAAATTAATATTAAAATGTTTTGTTGTAAAATAAAAAATAAATCTGAATTTTGTGAATTATAGTATCATATATCTGTATTAAATTACTAAAATTGTAAAAAAAAAAAATAATGGTTAAAAATAACATTCACCGATATAAAATTAATTGAATCATGGGCTCATCTCAAGTTTTAATCAAAATAAAACTTTGCTACATTATCTACACATATAGACCGGTATTTTATGATCGAGAAGGACTCGTATTTCTTTTCTATTGGGATCAACGAATGAATTAATTATTGTTAATTGCTAAAATAAATAAAATAATTCAAAAGAAAATCCGTTTTCTTTTGGTTTCTTGAAATATTTTTATTTTCAGATATTCAATTATACTATACATAATGTAATTATTCCTATTCAGTTTATTGTGATTAAATTAAATTAAATTTGAATAGCAAATAAATCGAACGAACGTGTGGAATAAAATATGATATAAGAATAAGAAAATTTACAAATAAGGTAAGTGCATTGTTATTAATAAAATAAGAACAGTTAATGTTAAATTATGGATCTGATACGTAATTTATGATTCTAAAACGGAAAAAAACAAAGGTGTTATGTTAAATTAAAAATAAAGAATTTAAATAACATCAATTCATGGTAAAATAATTTTTTTACGTTATCTATGCAAAATAAATAATATGATTATCAATAACGATGATGATAAAATAATAGTAGCAATAAAAACAGCGTTAAATCGCACATCTGTTACCGCGGCAACAAAAATTACAACGGACAGAATGTCAACCGTAGTATGTATGTTCTATACGCAGGTACGACGAGAATGGATATTATTATAATAGGAATTTTGTATTCTGTGAAGTAGGTGCATTATGATGGTGCCTGTACCACTGTTCGTATTGAAATTAACGCAGTGGAACTAATTTAATATTCAAAATTGTACTTGGCGTAATTATTATAATACGGTGTATAATAATAAAAACGTAATCGTACCTATTACATGCATTTCAAGTAGTTGAGTACGTACAGATTTTTTTTTTTCGTCCCGTCGGTCAACTGACTTGGCCGAGTACAACCGTAACCGATTTCATCTTCTAACGTTTCGCGGGCACTGGTAACAGTATCACCCTAGACGAAATAGACGAGCAAAGGGTGTGTAAGAAAAAGCACACAGCAGTTATGTGTACGAACGGCACACCGAACTCGCGCGGTTTCCATACGTTATTTATGAGTCGATACCGAAACGTATACCGGATCGCAGTTATACTCTTGATGATGGGTCACAATGACCTGGTGGATTATTCGACTAATCGAGTTGGAATAGTTGAACGTGAAAACGATCGAACCGCACGAGGAATATGTATAGCTCATCATAGACGGTTTTTTATTGATTCGATATTCATTAACACATCACGTCGAAAAAAACTATATAGGTAGAAGAAATCGTTGAAAAATATCGTCGCGCTGTAACGTTGATGTACCGAAGACGGTACGGAACCTTCGAGTCGAATCGTTACGATTTTCGCACGATGAGAACGATCGCTTTTCAGATTTTTAAAACAATGTTGGGTTTTTAACGAAACGTTTACCGAATCGAAACAGTTTTCTAACGGTGAGATGAATTCCGATCCGTCGATTGAAATTCACGTAAACCAAACTTACGGGGTCCGATCGAATTACGATATTACTCTGAGCGGGGGGGGGGGGGGATTCAGAGAGAAAAAATGAAGAACAAACGCGATTACGGACGGTACAAATCACTCGTCCGGAGATGGCAAACGAAATGGCGCTGACAATACGTCATTGTTGCCAGATCGATGTCAACTTGCGTTTCAATTGGTGCGGTACGCGCGCTGGGAACGCGGTGTGTTTACAATCGAAACGTGAAAAACAAAAACCACGTGGTCCGAACGAGGTGAATTTCCGCACTCGAGATCCCTGGTAAACGGTTCGGTGCGTACAATGGGACCCCTTCGAGAGAAAGGCTTACGAGTGTTGACAGAACGGAAATCTCGCGAGTCAACACGTACTTACTACTACGTTTCTCGTTTGGTCCGGGACGAAAAAATGAAATCCATGATACGAGGGTGTGTTGAAATGTCGAACCGAAGTTAATATTGTGCACCACGAGCAACCGTTCGTTGGAGAAATAAAAACCTCAAAACTGTACGGTCGATGGAACGTGTTTGGTGTTTGGTGTTTCGATCATGTAAATCATTGTCGTTGAACGCCGAACGACGGGTCCGTTTCCAAAACAAATCGAACGATCTCAAACCGTTCGCGGGTTCGAACGAAAAGTGTCCATTGCGAATCAATAACGCTTTACCGGACGAATGAATGTTGCCGCCGAGTATCAAAACTGCAATCCGGTGCGAACTTTTGAAAAGCGATAACCGTAAGCAAAAACATTCTATCCTAAAGGCATCAGTTGAACGTTAATCGATTCTCATGTACGAGTGTTATTCGTAAACGGATTGTTCAAATGTTTTCCAACGCTACTCGTTCAAGGTTCGATACGAGACTGTGTGTGCCGGTCACCGGTCAAACGATAAAATCATTAAATGATTTTAGATCGCCAAGAATTATCGCTTTAGTGTTCGGTTTTTAATGTTCACAATAAAACACCGCACAGTTAAATTATGTTTTTAATCATGTATTTAATGAAATACCTGAATTTCGCGTAGGCTTTAGATTTTGGTCCAAAAGTTTTGCGTTTGCGCTAATAGCAACGCTGATACCTAATGTACGAGGAATATTCTTGAACAAATATTAAATGTTTTATCCCCCCTTCCTCCCGAAATGACAAATATATATTAAATAAGTGATTTGGACACCAGAATATGCTATTTTCTAAAATACACATCAAAATATGAATTATTAATATGATATATTGTATAAATGAAATATTTTATTGGATCACTAGAAATCACGAAATTGTGATGGTTTTATTACCGATGTTATGAAATCGACAATCCGTTGTTTCAGTCGGGTGAAAATTGCGTTTTTTTTGTTTGACCACTTTTCGAATCTTTCTATAGTGACTGACGAAAAAAAAAATAATATTTTTTTTTCTCTTAAATTTGTATTTGAAAATGTCATTTTTTTTCGCAACATTTATTTATCGTTACGATATATGTATACATAAATTAAGAACAAAAAGTTGTAAAAAATTTGATTTGCAAAAGCTCCATTAATTAAAATAATTTTAAACGTGCAAATAACTACAATGCATTTATATAATGATAATTACTATCGTACCAATAGGCTATATATATAATTATACTATGCTAGGAAATTATATAGATACTAAAATGTAATTTCACTAAAATAATAATATACTGTTAATATTAAATTTAAATTTACAAAATAAATATATACACGTACGTGCTCGTATATGTGTGTATGTGTGTTTATTGTGTAAAACGTATTTATTAAATAAAAAATCCATTCGCAAGAGGCTTTAACTCTTCGTACCTTGGTAACTGGTTCGCACTCTTTGAATTCGGTATGGCAGACGTGCACTTTTCGGCAGGACCTTCGCTATACGGTGGTGGAGGACTGTCACCTGCTTCGGGCACTGTCGAGTCTTTTAACGGACAACTATATATAAACGCGTCATGCAACAAAAAAAAAAAAAAAAAACAAAAAAAATAGAATTTCGTGATTATCTAGCAACACGAAGAATGTGGAGGGAGTTATTTTGAACCTAATCGTTCGTATGACAAAACTACGTGTAAACAATCGGTAGTGCAAATCCGAAAAACGTACGACGTGCTTATCGATTAGGTTTATTTTTTATTGCGCACCTTTTAGCCCTCCGGGACGAATAAGTTTTCCGTTTGGACGAGAGAGGAGGCGAGTTGGACTTCACCGCTGTGTACGGTATTTCCCGCAACTGTTCCTCGGTCATGCCGTCCGTTTCGACCAGTTCGAACTCCAGATGCTTCTTGAGCTCTTCCGGCAGACGCGTCTTGCCGCTGCTTTCCGATGGCGATCTGGATCGTGACCTGCGCACACATCGTCACAATATATTTACATAGCATATAACTAAGTAGAGAGGTTAGATTAAAAAAAATAAAAGAAAGTTTGCGGTGTGAAGAACGAAGCGGATTGAACGGATTCGTGAGGTTTACAGTTACGGGCGAAAACGCTCTCAAAGAGTAGCGAGATCGCGCGCGAGGATTTAGAGTTAGAAATAAATAACGATTGTGCGGAATATAGTTTGTGACGCATTACAATACAACGTTTAACAGGGACGAAGTATGAACTGTCGAAATCGCGTGGGATACACGTGTATTTTAATGAATCGCGCCGGTTTCCGAAGATCGTTGAACGCCCCAGCTTATGCTGCAGCTATTTAATCACGATGTACAATACTGTGTTATGCGTTTGTCGTTCGACTGACGCGATCGGTTCGAAACGCGTTACGCGTCGAGAATCCACTGAAACTACCCGTTTATTAGTTTATTTTCTACGATTGGGTAATTTTTCGGCGCGAAAACGTTTCGCACGTATTCGAATAACACTACAAATGCGTTCTAATATTTCGCGCGTTACCGTGTATTGGATGCCAGCGAACAGATTTGTGATACTGATATCCGAACAAATCGCGTTTACAACGTGCGGTTTCGGTCCACGCGATTTCTGTCTGCGGTTCACCTACGCACAACGCGTATTGTTTACGAGGTTGTGGGATGTAACGATTTCTGTACGACGTTCTTGTTAGCGAAACATAAACGCGTTCCGTCTCACTATAATCCGAGTCGACCGCACGTCCTCGATCGCAATAATACGAACGTTTTTCGTCCTACAGAAATTGTTCTACAAGCGACGCAGGAGGCGCGTACCGCTGGCCAGGTGTAACGGACGTTTTTGCCGACCGCAGATTTTCACGAAAACGCGTCGAAAACATGCTGCTTTGCGTTTACGAAAATAATTGATTTAGGCATCAAAAGGCTAATAACTACGTCAACGAATCGTAAACATAATAAAGTAACCAAACGTACGCGTACCCGTTCAGCTTTGACGGTTCCGCGTTCTAATACTATGAAATTTTTTTTATGTACATTCATATTGATTTCGGTTTGTAAAGTGTAGCGTAAGATCTAATTTATGCGTTCATCGTTACCGTTGGATTTGTTCCTCCAGCCGTTTCGAGTTTGAAAAAAAAAAAATAGCTCGTAAAACGAAGGGTCGTGAAAAATGTTCGGAAAAAATAACCATCCGATAATGTGGTTCGCATCGAGTCTTAACGAGAATCTTTGCAAGCGAAACGGAATAGCAATGGACGGCCCCTTACCTGTGCTTCCGGTGTTTCCGCCTCCGGTACGACGACGAGTGGTGCGAGATCTCACTCTCGGACTCCAGACCGCTGTTCGCGTAACCCGAACGCGGCCGGACCACCGACGCTTTTTGTATGGCCGATCTGCCCTCCGCCTGTCGTCGCTGCACCTCGCGCCACTGTCCCTCCGACTCGACCAGCTGGTACCTGTGCCGCCTGTGCTCGTGTTCCTCGCCCGCCGACGACTTCCGGCTCCTGTGCCTGTGCCTTCGATGCGACTTGCTCGACCGTCCGGATTGCTCGCTCTCGTTGTCGGATGACCGTCGGTGGTTCCGGTGCCTATGCCTAGAGCGACACATTAACGGTTGTTATTACGATTTTTTTTTTTTTTTTGGTAGGAGCAAAACAAAAACGAAAAAACTTTCGCGTATTTTGCTCATAGACGTTCATCGACATAATTTTCGAGCGTCAAGACGACACAACTCCCTGTATAACTATCCCCCCCCCCTGAAACAGTCTGTATCGTCCGACACGTTTTATTTTTTTTCCAACAAAAATGTCGGAAAAATTACGAACGCGCACATGATCCGACTGAACGTCGCGCGGTTGAAACCGGACGCCACGACGGTGGTCGAAACCTAGCCACGTATGGACGGGAACACGACGTTAACCCCGACCGCATGATTTCGCGGAGCGCATGGTATTGTACGGGAAACGCAGGACTCGCGACCACTTTATCGTGACGAGTTACGCGGACCGAACTTGACCGCAAGAACATTGCTTTTAAAACGAACAAATTATTTTTATTAAAACAAAAATGGTGGAGGAGAAGGAGGAGGGGTGAGAATTAAAAATATCCAAAAATAAAGTCACTCCGTTGAAGACAGCCCGCTCTGAATTCGATTAGTACGAGTCGTTAAGAATAGCAATGATAAATTCGCATGGTCGGCTATCAACGCGTACCTGAAAAGTTACACCATAGCATTAAGCTATCGGTTGCGAATGTTGTTCTCACTGTTCTCTGTATGTAACTTTATTTTTTTTTTATTATCAACTTAAAAATCATCGATCGATGTATGTAAAGTACGATTGTAGAACGATTGTAAAAGGTTATGGCCTTAAGACTGGTAAAAACGTTTTAAAGCTACGAGAAATCGACTTACATGCGAACCATAGTCGTTGAATTGATACGAACAATGCTCAATGTGTACGCGCAAAGTTAACAAAGTCAAAAGTGTATTTGTCGTAAGCAAATATAGTTTAAGAAAATGTCACGCAGCGACTATACTATGTATGCTATATAAGTAATATAGTTTTACGATCTTGTTATTGCGTTCGTGGTATTAAGGTACCGTACGTGCAATTGTTAAAACAGCGTGTTCAAAGACGATTTCGAGAAAACACTACGCACGTTTTATCAAATAACGTTCGTTGTAATCGCACGCTTATGAAACTCCTAACACCGAGATCGTCAACGATTTCCAAGTAAAATATTTGAACGGTTTGAATCCTGATTCGTTCACAATTTGGTTCGGATCAAGTTCAAAAATATTTTTTTTTTTTTTTAAATGTATGAAAAATCACGCGAAAATTATGCGATATCATATACGTATATAAATGCATCACATTTGCTCGTTAAAATGTAAAAAGTTTCATCAAAACGAATTGTAACGCGTTTTGGTTGTGTTCGAAACGAGTCGTACACATATGTGTGTATATGTTTTATTCGTTGTTTATTGTGTTGAAACGTGCACGAATCCATGCAGTAATAAAATAATTAACCACGATGACAACGCGTTTCAAGATGAACTTTTCGCTGAAGATAATAATACGTTTAGTTGCCCGTGTCAAATGACGATATACCGTATAAGCCACACAAGTCCACGGTCAATAACAATAATTAGTTTAATTTATTTACCACGTTCCCGAATTTAGAAGCGCTTCGTTTTATTAATGTATTAAAACGGTGAACTGGTCGGAAAATCGATTTAAAAACTTGCACGGTCACCGGTTTAAAAGACCGTACGCGCCTGAAAACGGAAAGAGCATTTTCACATGTTTCGTGCGACAACGCAATAAAAGTACTAACATACTAAGTATTAAGTCTTTTTAGATAGAATTTTCATCAAGCCGGGAATTTACGAAAAAATTAATTCGGTGGCCACAAAACGCAAACCATATGTGTACAGAAAACGTACGTACGATGGATTTTGATAGGCGGTGGTGTCGTCGGTTTCGAATGTTTCAAACCAATAAATGGAACGCTAGAAAAGCGCGAGGAAATACGGTCTCTCAGGTAGTAAACCACGTGGTACGTACGCTTCACGATCTGGCGGCGGACCCAACCCGACGTGTTCGTTTAATAGAGTACACCGAATACGCTTTGTAACACGCGTCGTGCAAATACGTATAGTGTAGTGCTGGTGTAGGAATAAGAGGCAGTGGCGTCGAGGGTGGTTTATATTGGGGCTCTTATAAACTCCGTTGAAGTGGCGATTACTTGAGTTTATACGCACGTGTGTGTGCGAGTGTGTGTTTGGGTGGAAAAGTATATTGATCACTTACTCTTGCGTGTATATATATATATATATAAAACATTTTCGTCTCCTACCGGTGAACAAAGGTCAGATCCAGGATTTAGAAAGCGACGTGTACACAGAAAACAATAACGAGAAAAAAGGATCGCGTCGTCTCCGTCACGATAAAGTCTTTTGTGTAAGCGCAGAGACAGGATGCAGGGCCGAAAAGAACCCGCGCGCCCAAACGGTAAACATGAACGTTTTCGTGTTGCGACTGCGTACGTATAATATATTTGTGAGTAAGTGTGCGTTTTCGTGTGTGCTTCCATGCGTGCGCGCGTACCGTGAATACCTGCACGCCAAAGCCTTCTCTGGAAACGAGGGGTGGAAGAAAAAACACGGAGACGCGACATTTATCTCGGAACTCTCGGGTCGATGATTTATACAGGGACTACATGTACAGCACCGAGGTTCACGGGTTCGGCTATGCGTATACATTATTAATCAATGGGAAATTAAATTCCGCCGGAGACCGCGTTCGCGAAACGCCGATCCTCGATCGAGATAATACAAACGTAAAATGCATTATATCGTTATGATAATTTTGAACGGGCTCAGCTGATTTATCGAGTTTGCAATCATTATAAGTTGTTCCCGGTATCCTTCACCTTCGCCCGTGAACAGGCGTTGCAGCGCCTTCTTTGTCGAATGCTTATACGACACTCGTAGAGCCGTCCTGCCGATCGATGCTCAATGTTGCACCAAGCACTGTGCGTCGCGGAAAACAATTAAAAAATAAAGATAAAACCGAGCGCGTAGTGAACACAATTTTGCCATCGAGACTTTTACGACGAAAATATCACGGGATCGTAACTCTAAAATGAACTTAAGTGCACAGTCCGACCTAACCATTGTAATGATAATTTTTTCCTATCAATTTCGATCGATTAAAACTCTTAGCTTGAAATGCGTGCTGGTATTCCGTTAGAAACTGTACACGTTGTGGTTAGCTAGGTTAGGCCAGCTAGGTATTTGCACCGCTCGTTTGAAATAGGACATCACGAAGAAAGCGATTTTGGTGTTTTATAAATATCTAACGCAATGCAATATCTAGGGCCGGCGCTAACAAACACTGATTGGGGGTGGGGGAGTGGGTTGTAAACGTACGAATTTTCCTTTCTAAAACAAAATCCTACAACACTAATATTACTTGATTTGTCGTTGACCGCCGACTACATAGACAAGTAATTCGTAAGTGGGGGGGGGTATTATACTCTCCGCACCCCATCCCTAACGCCGGCCCTGGCCATATCACAGTGTAACGGTCGAGCCGACGATCCATTCCCGTACACGTCAGGATGGAATATCACTTACTTGCGGCACGATCTCGAGTCGTTCGAACTCTGGCTGTCCACGCTCGATGACCGACGGGCATGACGCATGATCTGATGCGGTCCGGACCTGACGCTCCGGGGCGAGCTGCTCGAGTACAGACCTCTCGTCGGAGCACTCGACCAAACGCCCCACGGAGCGCTTCTGGTGCTTCTCGGCGAATCGCTCCGGTTCGGCACGTACATGCTACCGGTGCGGGGGAACACGGGCGAACAAAAAACGGTTTTTAATGAAAACCTACAACTATTACGAACAGGTGTGTGTTACACTTACGTGTGGACGGGCAGTTGAGGGTTGGAACAGTTTTTCAACTTGTCTTGCGGCTTCAGCGACGACGATGACGACGACAGCAACAACATTTCGTCCCTGGTCTTGTACTCGTCTCCAATAGTTTGATCTGATGAAAGCATTACAAAAATACGCGTTAGAATTGGTTCATCCGTCCGATCGGAAAATATCAGCGTAGTTCATAATCGAGCGGTGAATAAAAATTACATATATTATATTTAAGATAATCCTAAAATAGAGATAATTAATTTAGCGACCATTTATTTCATTACTACTATAGTTAATCCGTCGAATAAAAAAGGGCGGACCGCAAAAACAAAAAAAAAAAAAACAAAGTAAAAATTATTAAAATGACCAACGCACATAAATAGAGGAAAGCTTAGGATATAAATGAAATCATTCGACTGCATATATTTACTAAAGGTATTCATAACGGAAATCATATTTTATTCTCTCTCTCTTTCTCAGAAAAAATTGGACAAGAATACTGTACATATTACAGTATTTATTATTAGAGGTTGTGTACTTATTCATCGGTAGGACGATGATCACCAGCTAGAAATTAATTTTACAGAGATCGACGATGCAGACGTGTTTGTTAAAGGGCTCACCCTGAACATAGCCTAGACAATTTAACAATCGTACAAGAAACTTGATTAGTCTCGTACCAGAAGTCACTTCGGTAGTCGATGTATTGTAGGCACTATTAATTTTAATGCGCGCGTCAGACGTTACAAATGAAATGAAATATTAAGCGTTCGTACAGATAAAACTCAAATTATCCAAAAGAAAAAAGATATTATGCACTTGTATTGGGATTAATGATAAAATAAGGAGCATAGAATTATTAACTTTTAAAAATATGTAGACGCGTCCATCGAGCAGTAACACGTGTATCGTGAGGGGGTGATATATATATTTTTTTAATTCCACTGACGACGACGGTGCATATCAACGTTGTCTCGTAATCGGTACATTTTTCTGTTTCACGCGACGCAACGCGCATAAAGAAACATATCGTTGCGATTAATTGTCCAGCGCCGATTCAGAGGAGATTACTCGTTTGCCAAACGGTAGTTTTTGTTTTTTTATTTTTCTAACACGGTATAATTTACGCGGACCGTTATTCGAGTAACGCTCGCAGTTAACAAGATTTATATTAGCGCACGCGCGTTCACCAAACGGAAAGTTCTCGTAATGAACGCGCGTTAAGTACGTTTCCCGACCACGTGATATATTTTACTCGGGTCCGTTTGGATACGGGTTTTATATTATACATCGCGAGCTCATAAATTGGCCTCCGTCCAACACGTGTCGTGCAGACGAAACAATTCGACCGATTTTTATTATTCGAACGGTACGCGCGCAGCTCAACGAGTCGGATGGTCGGACGAAGAAAACCGATAGCGATTCTCTGCGACCGTTTTGAATTCCTTGTAACGCGCACGGACCGTTGCGTTGTTGGGAGATCGAAAATGTTGGGTTTCAAGAGATTCAACTGTTCGGACACGATTAAAGGCGGACGGAAAAACTGATAAGATGAAATATTATTTTTACGTTTTCGGATGGACGGCGGATGGCAAGGTGTGTAAGGACGCGTGAAACCGAAACGTTTACCGCCGCGCCGTAACGCGTCGCGGACGGAAGCGCGAGACTCGGGACGTAACGCGTCGTCCAATCGTGAAACGTACCGGTCGAGGCGCCGCCGCGAACGACGCGCGCGTAGATCGTTCCCGGTGTGCGCGCGTTTCGGGTCTCCGGCCCCGTACGGCCGAACGCAGGTGCTGACGGACGGCGACGGACACGGATCCGGCAATGGTCGCCGAAGGTTTCGGACCGTCCGGGCACGTGCGGTTCGCACGCGGACCGTAATCGATCGCGATCACGTCGAAAACGCGCGTCGAACGCTCGCGGCGACGGGAAATCGCACGGTTTTCGCGCGCACGTGGTTCCGGTCGTCCCGACGTCGTGCGGTCGAACGCCGTAGTCGTCGGCGCGCCGCCCGGGCGGTACCGAGCCGACCGCTGGCCGCGTGACCGGAACATCCGTGGTCCGAGTGCCAAACTCGGTGACTCCGCGGTGTTACCGTCGTTCGAGGGTTTCGAACGGGTGCGTTTAGCCGGTTTCCGAACGATCGACGTGCGTCGAACGGAGAGAGCCGAAAAAAGACGAAAAAAAAATACGCCGCGCACATTTCGTCTCGGCCACCGGACGACACGGCGATTCGAAAAACGAAACGGTTCGCGTGTCCCGAAAAACGCCGCGACGTCGTGCACGCGGAACGGACGCGTTTCCCCGGACTCGTCGAGCGCGCGCTCCCCGCGAACGTACGACCGGCGCACGTGGTGACGTCGCGGTAACGTAAAATGTGCCCGCACACCGCCGCGATACCGTATCGGCACGGTGAAGCTGCCGGTAAAATCGTTCAAACGGTTTTCGTAGGCGTCGCCGCGCTGGACCGGACCCGGTGCGCGACTCCGTTCATAATTTGTGCGGCACAACTGATACGCCATATGTCCAAAGGTCTGAACAGGGGGATTGCAACGCCAGTGCGATACGATGCCGGTACGGTGTCGAATATCGTACCGGAGGACGGTTTATGCACCAGTATTTTCAGAACGTTGCGTGCACGATTTTTATCGCGTACCGGAACGGTAAAATTGATTATCAAATCAGTTTTGAAAATCACGGACATTCGAAAAATCAGGGAACATTCACTCTGCTGTACAGTAGATTTTATATCTGCTTCGTTGTGTAGTTGGACGAATTGATCCCAATCAAAACGATGCCACACATCCGGGTAAGTACATTATCCGTGTTTTCTCTTACACGTTATTTTACAATATTTCTCATTTTTTAAAACGACAGTTATTTTTGAGCTTTTTTCGAATTGCAATATTCATAAACTCGGTTGAAAATTAAGATTTTTTAAATAACTTATGAGAAGATAGAGATAATTCACGTCGAAAATCGATAGTAGGTCAGATTAATCTGGTATTAAAGCTAATGAGTGATAACACAAAATTAGTTCTGCTGATTACAGATTTGCCGTGTTGTATGTTAGTAAGACGGAGACAACGCATGCGGAATTTGTGATCTCCTCGTCGCCTGTCCGTTAATGGTAACTACTCATTACCTACCCGTATCGATAATATTCACACTTTTAGGATTATTGAATGTTCATCAGTTAATTACAAAAAATCTAGAATTCTGGGCACAATTTCTAAAAACTTATTTCTATAATTTGCCAGCTGCCCTCATGAGGTACGTAATACTTAAGTACCCTACGAAATTTGTAGAAAACTATTCAACAACTTTTCTTTGTTTTTGTAATACGAGTAATTTGTCTTTTTTCATTTTTTGGTAGGTGTGTATTTTTATTATATTATTTTTTTGGATTTTATAGAATGTCTATATAGTCTACTGTATTTAATACAAATAATTTGGACCTCGAAGTATAACATTTATGATGTTAATATACACACAGTACAACTTCATATAGTCTATAAATACATAAGGTCCTTCCTGAAAATAATAACGGTTTAAATAATAATTGTAGAATCATAATACAATAATTTTAAAAAAATAAATTTTAGTATCGTATCGCAGCAGTGTGTGCATATTATGCTGATAAACGTTCCGGTACGATATTTTCTCGTCCGGTACTCCATATTGAGTACCGGATTAATACGCATTTATGCGCACGACGGTATAAATATCGTATAAAAAAAAAAAAAATTGTGTACCGTACCGATACCGTATCGCGTACCGCAGCAATGTGTGAGCACCTTAATAAGTCGCCCCGTCGAACAACGCTAATTACAACCAGATTACGTACCTGATTAGTACGCGCACGTTCACACGATAATGTACGTAGGCGCATAAATATGTATAATATAAAATTTGTCAGGATGCTTAATCCGCCGACCCTTTGCTCGTCTAATGACCGGAGTTTTGCATCGGTCGAGTAAAAAATTATTCGTTGCTCGTTAACCTACGGGGTGGTTTACAATTTTTTATACAATAGTTGGTTGTTCATTGTTCCACGTGATCGTAATCGTCTCGAATGATTCGTAGATAACTTGAAATTCCTATTGTATTGAAAATCGGTGCGTTTGGAATTTATAATACACCAGCGGGATCACCCGGCTTCGCGCGGAACGGTCTTGGCCGGGACGTAGTTTTTAATGAATTATTACCTAACACTATTTAAAGCCTGGCGTGTCGTAACTGTTATGAAACAAATAAAACGAAATTTCAAATGAATCGGCTTTAGAGTTTCCAGCTGGGCGATTTCTTTCGCATTAACTACTTTTCGTTTTTACCCATTTTCGTTCTCTTAGGGATTGAATTTTGGATAACACTTTCTCATTGCACACCTAGAGTGTTTGTGGGATCTCTATGTCAAATGGCAAGTTTATATGAACAGTCGTTTTTGAGTTGTAGCCACGATCGACGAGTGAGTGGTATTAGGTTTTTATTTACATATACAGATTATCTGCTATCATGAGAAAAGTCGTCGATTATATTTTTATACATAATGGGCTTATCTAACTATTTTAGCACTCGCTAGCAACATGTTATTTACTCACACATTGGGCTTTACCAGTTTTATATTATTCAAAATTTATTTTATTCATTCAGAATAATCAATTTATCCACAAGTTAATCTATTCAGAAAAACTAGTTGTTCGTGCTTTTATTTTTTATTCATAATTTCGATTTGTTTTTTCCTAACTCTGTCAATAACTATACACATTTTCAAATGCTTCAAATGCTTACACTATCCTTTTAATGGTCCTTGAATAAACGTGCGCATAGATCGCAATTACATAAAAATACCATGTAACACCCATAAGTAAGACAAAGTACTAACCTGATTATAATCGAATAAGTTACACTGATCGGACAATATATGTACTACGTAAATTATTGTACCTAATATCGCGAGCATAAACACACGCGTACGAATATTTTTGTTATATTATCTATTGCTTCGCGTGGCCAAGGTTAGATGAATAATTAAATTATTAAATGAATGAAATATGCATGTTGGTCTCAAAATGCACGTGTAATATTCAAGTGTGCTTCAACAATATACAGCGCGAATCTGGTTGAAATATTAATATTCATATGTGCATAAAGTGTATTATAAACGGTTCTATAAGGACTTCTTGTTCGCTACTGTAGCATTTGAAGACACTGGAACTTTTTTCCTGTTTTTTCTTTTTTTTTCCAAAAGACCACAAGACATTCAAGCCCGTGATGATAATTGTACACGGCGCACATGAAATGTAGGATAACAACATGTTGCTTTTTTTTTATTTTGTACTTCTCGAAGTATTTTCAGGGTTTTTAAGAATAAATAACGTTATGAAATTTTAATGCAGTGCGCGCACATAAAAATTAGAGCTTCAGTAACGTACAGTATGGTGTAGTACACACGGTGCGCACCAAGAAGCCATCGGAGAACGTTTTGATTTCCATGCCGTATAAACACGTATAATACGTTTTATGTTAATTAAACCCCTTCAAACTTCTAAAGCTTCTGTGCCATTGTCCGGGTTAATTAGGAAAATTAAAAAAAAAAAAAATTCGAGAATTAATCCGAGAACACAATACGTTATGAATTATAATATTTGCTTCTCGGAAGTACATAATATGTATATTATACGGCTTAAAACGCCGTAGTGGAAAACCGTCAATACGACATTACAATCAATATAAACGCGAGTGAGACTTACTGTCATTAGCTCCTTCGACGATTCTCCTCTGATAACGGCGACTAGGTGTTCTCGTGAACGACGGTGGTGTCCTGCTGCTCATCTGCGAACTTCTCACCGATGACTTGTCAGCACGGCCGCTGTAAACGGACAAACAAATAAATTATTTCATTTCATCGCAACGATGCGATTCGAAATGCCGTAAAATTATTTGTACTTGGCAAAATAATTAATCACAACCAAACTACCACAGTTTGTTCACAGCATAAGTTATAAACAAATATACAACCAGGAAATGTTTTCGGTTGATTTAAATAGTTTTGAACGATTAAATAATTTCAATGTAAAACTTTTGTTTAGTTTTTGAAAATGTAAATTATTAGGTACCGTTTGTTTTTGACTAGAAATAATTTCAATTCATATTCTACACAGTTTTCTTAAAATAAAAGTAATTTATGGTTTATTATTTTGTCTTTATTATCATTATATTTTATACATGTATTATCTTCAGTTTTATATTTTACGAAGCCAGCGTTTTAATTTAAAGGCAGTTTTTGAACAACGTACAACAATATCATTTCCATGAATAAATGTTGCATTGATTTGTTAATACTGAACTGGTATATAAAATGTTTAACGCGTATAAACGCAACCCAAATCGATTAAAATAAAAATATTATACGAGCATACATATATATATCCGTAATTAAATAGAAAAAAATAAAAACTGTTTTTTATTAAAATCCCCGTCGTTAGCTACTTCGTACTTCATTTCATTAGAACCTACAATGAATAAAGCGTATATGCTATAGTTCAATTATCCAATGCAAATATGTATATATTTAACCATAACAAATGTTTGTGTTTCGAAATCAATTAATTTGTCAAATAAAATATTTATAACATTGTGTTTGAAGGATTTCGCAACGAATATTGTTGACTGATTCGACGTTTCAAAATAACGTACACAATGATGTAATGCAGGTGAATATGCAAATATACATACATATATATACATAAATAAACTTATGAGAGATAATGTGAGATTCCTGCGTAAAAAAATCATGTACTCGATGGAAAAATGTCGAATAAAGGAATTTTCGTTTTCTGTTATATAATGCCATCCGATCATATAAGCCGGGTATATAAATATTTTCTTTGCGATGCTTACGGTTTCCGAGTTCAACGTCGTTTCATAACCATTTGAATGATATATTCTAGAATTGTGAACAATTCCACACTTTTCGAAAAAATGGGACATGGACGGAATTAAAATATTAATGTTAAACGTTAAATTCATTATTCACACATTTCCGTTTACGTACCTGCCGACATCGGCAACAAAATAAGGTTATTCGACTAAAAATATAACTTATCTCACTTATATATTATCTAGGTACACGCATGAAAAGAGCAGAAATATTCGAATGGCATACACCCAAAAAAAAAAAATAAATAAAACATTAGTCATATATAATCTTCAACAATAATAAAGTTTTTTTTAAACATTTCGGGGAATTTTAAATACCCAAACCACTGTAACGTTTTATGATAATGTACAGCATGTTATTTAAATCAGTAGATGTTATCAGTCATTATATACCTAATAGCCATGCCGATTAAGTCACTTTTACAATAATTAGTCACATTCACCATAGTAATGGGATTCTATTATAACGACCTGATTACATATATTTATGAACTCAAGTGTAAAGATTTTAACGATCACCACACTTATCCGGCAGGTTAATTGTTATCATTATTATTATAAAACAATTTATTTCAGCTCTTGAGGTCCAATCCGATTATCTTAACATGTCGAATACCATTGTATTATAACGTATATAGTAGGATTTCCGTACCAAAACTGAGCTGAGAAGTGCAATTCTTAACATTGCTATTATAATATCATTAGGTACTATCTGTACGAATATAATACATTTGTATTATGGAAACTATTTTTTTCAAGGGTCACTCTCATTTTCTTTGAAGAGTTTTTTTTTTTTTATATATAGATTTTGTGTTGCAAATCTCTTTGAAGAGTTACAAACAAAAATGATTAAATGGCATGAATAACGCTAGAAATTCCAAAAATGGCCTCGAATAATCCTTCATTTTATACAGAAATAGGTTTGTAACAGTAATCAGTGTTATCTCTAGTTTCTCAGCCTGAAAGCTATATAGTATCATTTTTATTTTAAACACGGCCTTTTTTTTAAAATGTTTGCTCCTCGTATTCCGAATCGAACATCGGTCGATAAGCAAATCGTTTTAAACTAATTTATTTGTTTATTATCTAACCATTTATGTTTATTTATATTCATCAATTTAATGTTTACGATTATTCATTATTTATTGTTCATAAAAAATGTATTATTCTAAATATTCGAGTTCAAGTGGAATTTTTCGTCGATAACTAATTCTAACTTTGATGCAATCAACGTGTTCCGTATTTATAATATAAATCCTATCGAAAATTAAGTTGGATGTTTAATTTATTGGATAGTGGTCTATCATATTATTATGAACATTGTTATTATTATTTATTAATCGTTACTATTACTGTAATTGTATTGTTATTTACATTGTAGTTAGTATTATCGTGTCAAAACACGATGGGAGTGGGCGAACGGAAAAAATTAGTCTTCTGATGTATTGCGGGATAATATTCGGACGCAGTTTATCCGAATCGACTCGTAAAAACTAAAAGTACTTCGGAACAAAGGAACGCCTGCAGACTTAATAGAGTACACAGGTCCATTGTTTGCTTTTGCTTTGCAAACGATTGCTGAAGATTCCCGACTCGTGTGCGCCGGGAGGCGTCAAGAACAACGACAATCGCGCAAAAAAAAAAAAATTTCCAATTAGGTTTTTTCCGACAGTTTAGGCTTCAAACGCCTAATCTCAAACCGCAGCGTATTGTACGATCCGTTAACGGTACGCCTGCGGTGGAAACCTTTGTTACGTTGGTGACGGGGAGAAACAAAACTCTCGCGGTTAACGCGCGGCAATGTCCCCGCGGCGATACAATGCTTTCACGCGGACCACCCGCACGCGGCCGATCGCGATGTGTCCGATTCAACTGCAAAGGCCTTGTCGAACGCGTTAGTAGACTGGTTCTTAGTAGTCGATACAGTGGTATTGTTCGTGCGGTTTATAATGAAAAAAATATGTCCGCTGGTTCAGACGAAGAAGAACTTTTATACGCGTTAACCGAAAGAAAGTCAACAAAAAAGAGGAAGCGAATTTATGCATTGCAAACATTTATTTATGCTCGGTATTTGTGTACGTATTCCTTCTTTCGCCACTACCCGGAGGCCAAAAACTAACGCGCGTGATTTTGTACAACGTCGCGTTCCACCGTGGCGTTCTAGCGCCGCGTCAATCATGTCGACAACATACACGTTTGACATCCAATTCGGAATCGAACACAACGCGACGTCAATAACGCGGTCTGTTCGACAGAGCGTTAAACGCGCCCCCTTGCGGTACGCGCACCGTACCTGCTGAACCGAGTGCTTATGACGTCCGGAGGGTTGGGCGACACTTGGACCAGTCTGAAGAAAGAATGGTGTTCCATGCTGCACTTGTACAGATGTTTGCACGCCGGTCTCGAGGGCGTCTCGAATCCGTAAGTGTTCTCGTCGTTCTGCAAAATAATTCGTCACATCACCACAACTATTGGACACGTGCATCTAATTAAAATTATGCTAATCTGGGCGAGACGACTCCGCCGCCGCCACTGCCATCGTCGGGTGCTCCGGCTGCGGGATCAGCCGCGCGGGGGAGGGGGGAGTAATCGACGTCTGCGACATTCGAAACGCGGCTCGATATGGTCACGCGGTCAGCACAAGGAGGCTCGGGAGGACGATTCGCGTCCCCTTCGTCTGCGTTATAAAATCGAATTCGTAACGATGATTAGGATTTAGGATCAAGATGTAAACCAGCTGTATGTGGTTGAAAACAATTAAGTCAAGCAAGGGCGGTACAACCCTCAATATCTGATATTGAAGTGAAGGTACCGTTAGAAAATCTGTTATTAATCCTTCCTCCAAACAAAACCCTGGATCCGTTGCTGGTTCGCAGGATACGCGATTATGCATAATATGTGTATCCGATAGTAATTGCTATACTTACGTTTTTATCGCACACTCTGAGCATGAAATATTTTCCTTTGCTAAAAATTTTGGTGATTCTGGGCCTGAAATTGATTGCAAATAATTACCAACAACCGACGCATTACATTACAGATCACCCTAAGTCTTATCTCATCTATGACCGTATCAAAGACGTGATTGTACGAATCCTATATTGTTAACGACGGGACTTACCAGTAATAGTTCGCTACGATGTTTTTGTTCCGGAGAACAATCACTCCGGTCGGAGTTAGACCTAAATAGTATTCGACGTTGTCTTCGCCCTGAAATCAAATAAACGCGAATAATAAGTATACATTATTTAAATAAACGACCGTTTTGTACGTTATAAAATTATAAAATTATAAATTATAAAAAATAAAATTAAGAACGGATTGCACATTAAATGTACGAATTGAAAACCTCGCAGAACGGAGAAAGAAAAGTGTACAGGCCATAACGCGAATTCTCCACAAAAACTGATTATTGTATTTTTTACCGTCAGAGTCGTATATTGTTTGCGTATAACAGAAATGAACAGATCGCGGTATGCACTCGAATTTCAAAAGGGATTCGACATTCAATTCGTTCGTTTAAGAATTAAATTTCGTCTCTTTCCTTCGTTTCGATCCGTTGCGAGAACGATAATAACTTTATCGTTATTATTATTATTGTTATTATATTAATATTGTAACACAATAACGTAATCATTTCGTAAAACTTAATCTTCAGTATTAACATAAACACAGACGATATCAAATAGGATACGGATACATAATCGTTATCCTCCGGGGGAACATACTTGAAACGTGCATAACCGTTCAAGTTTTAATACGACGATGACGACGAATTATCGTCGAGGTGCGTAGTTGTCATGGTCACTAGTACGTAAAACATTTTTACAGGGAAATCCAATCAAAATATAATGACTATTTTCATAATAATGAGTTCGTAACAACGTAGGAGGACGCTACGAGTAATACGGAATTCACGATACAACCTACGTTCACTAAATATTATCAACGTGCACACGTACATAAATATTATATGATATATATACCTACACGGTGATCGGTTACGACGAAAATCGTAATATAAACCGGAGTTGAAATGTAATATTAAAACATTGTTATTATAGAATTAATAACAATAATAATTATAATAATATCGAAAATACATATTAACATATTAGTATTGAAGCATATTTCATTGATGGAAGCAAATTATTATTTCAATATAAACGTACGAGTATAATACACACGAGTGTATAATACAATTATCGACATTATATTTCATTTCGTTCACTTGGATATTATTTCGGTATTTAATCGGTTAGTTATTTTTATCACACTAAATATTAGTCAAACGTTCTTAGTGAACAAGTTTCAGTGCATTGAGCAACAAAATACTATTTTTTTTTGGTCAGTCCCTTTTTTTTGTTTTTTTTTTTTTTAATTATTCAAAATATTAACCAATATTAATCGGTGTAATAATGTCATACAACAATGTATAATATAATATGATTATTAAAAAAAAAAAGTTTTCAAAACAAATTTACATTTTTACTGTAAATTGGTAAATTGTGATATATTTATTATATTTTTATTTACTGCCTTTTAGACAACACATCCAAACATAATTCACTCCATTCATCTCGATTTTGTGCTAACATACACCAATCTTCATCCTAATAGAAGTCTGCTACATCCCACTTTACACAAGCCATCCATCGTATGCGGGGTCTTCCCAAAAGTCTTGGATTCTCTTATAGAACCGTCTTTATTATGGACTCAGGTTTCCTCCACGCATGACCTGCCCATTCTAGGATTCTTCTCTTTATCTTATTTAATACGTCCAGTCTGTTGTATAGGTCACATAGTTACTCATTGTGTTTTTACTCTATTTTCCTGTTTTCGGGGATATATCGATATATAACGATATTAGATATATCGTTCTTAGTATTTTTCTCTCGAAAATCCACAGTCTCGACTCATCACTTCTCCCTGCAGTCCAATATTATACTCCATACAATATCAAAGATATTATTACCGTAATGTATAGCTTGACTTTTAGCTTCTTTGAGAGTACTCATGGCTTAAATAAATTGCCCAAGACGTTATAACACTTGTTGCCTTTTTAAATCATTTTTAATATCTCATTCTACATATTGTTCGATTGTATGATCATATATTATGTATTATTTGAATCCTAATACTTTTCTAAAACCGTAGGACACTACTTTTAAGAACTTTTCTTTTTTTTCATCCGGTCGTCTTCTGATTTCCATATATTCTGTTTACCTTCGTTAATTTGCAAGCCCACTTTATTTTTGCGTCTTCTAGAAGTCTAATGAATATAATGTTTCACTGAACTTAAATTGTTCCCTAGAAGCACTATGTCGCCTGCATCATACCCTAAGAGACTTATTGATGTTCCATCAAATTTCGTCTCTTCGTCTGGTGATATATATTCATCATTCTAACTATTTTTTCTCCAAATTGATATATAACAACATGTTTAACAATTAGAGTGTATATTTTTATTATAAACAGTATATATTTTTACGAATTATGTTAATTATGATATTCTTTTTTTTTTTTTATGTAGGTACCGGTGTAGTAAATTTATTACGAACAGTAGTATATTCTAACAAATAATGCAAGTTATAATTTTTTATTTTTTATACATATATAACGGGACAGTAAATAATGATGTTAAATTATAAAACGTTATGAAAAAAAAAAAAAAAAACACTCATGTTTAAAAATAATTCACTCTGCATACCTATTGCGCGTGCACCGATAATCTTTTAAGTTTTTATATAAACCGTTACGCCACGCGTTGCGGGGGCACCGGACGATTTGACATAAACTAAAAGTGTTTATAATTATTTTTCATTCTCTTGCGTCCGATTCGGCGGTAGACGTGAAAAGACGACCACGTCGGTTAGCCAAACCACTTGTCAAAAACGTCCGTTTATACGAGAAACAGAATCAATTGATTAACGAGTTGCTACGTGAATGCAAGACGCTAGTTAGAAAGTAAGTTATTGTATCGGTTCGGTTTCGCGGACGCGCTCACACAGACACGGACATTTGGTACGATGTTTTTGATTGATGAACAGCACACGCGCGCGTGGCACAATGTACAAGGAGCACGCCATTCGTGGTTTTTGTCATGACCACATATTATTATTATTATTTTATCGACCGATTAAAACCCATCATGGCCGGCCATTAACGCTTACTCATTACGACCGTCTGGAAAACGTGGTCGGCCGTGATAACGGTTCTGAACATCGTGTACTCGTTACCGTTGCCACGCTCGTCTCTACGCGTACGAGAATTCGCGACCGAAACTCGAACAAGGTTTGCGTCACGACCGCGAACTGGCCGATATTATTACCCTGAACGCGTTACGACGCGCGGTCGATCGTCGATCGTTGTTACACGGTTCGGTCGGAATTCCGTTTGCACAGGCGCGCGGACGTGTATACGTTCACGTGATTTTTTTTTTTTTTTTCCGCGAACGCGCAAACGGATCAATAATTCCCAACGTAATATCGTACGCGAAAATGAATCCGTTTAAAACGGTGATCGGTCGTCCGAGTCAACGATTCCCGTGCACGTTGGATTCCGACCCGTGGCTCGTCCGGTACGGTTGAAACACGAAGTGATAACGTTGCGTACCCGCGTGAAATCGACGACGAAATGTTTGCCGTCGATCGCGTTCAACAAACATACCGATCGTTCTAAAAAATCGTAAGAGCAACGTTATCGTGTTAATACGGTTTGAGTTTCGCGTGCGGGCCTATTGCTGTTTATTTTTTCGAGCGGTAAAAAAGTAACCGAACACTTTTGCGCACGTACTCAGTAGAGTATTATTACTTTAGGCCGACCGACCGGTGGCGCGGCAACGAGTTAAATTTGAAAGTCAAAACGGATCGCAAACGGTGCAAGGGAGCAAGGGAAGGAGGACGGGCTATTGAGCGACACATTCCGAGAGAAACGTCAGCGGAAAACCCGTTTACGCGCCAAGGATTAAATTATTCGGATCGTTGCGTGCAGGGACCACATACATATATATATATATATATATATATTATACCGAGAAAAACGGCCGATCGAAAATCAAACGAATATATATACTCGTATAGTCGTACAAGGATGTCGAAAATACTACGTTATAGTATTTTCGACATCATTGTGCCGCAAACCGTCTTCGACCGATTACGCGTCGTCGTGTTCAATGCTATTTTCGGAGTGAAATCGAAAATCGCGACGGGACGTATCGTAAAATAGTATAGCGAGTATACAATACACCGTGTGTAGAGTGTTCTCTAAACTAAATTCGTGAGTTCAAAAAACAAAAACGAAAAAACCATGATTCGGTATTAACGATTTCAATAAGTTATCTTACCGGGTGGCACTGAATTCATATTTAAGTTCATCAACATTTTATTGTCATCATAACAGACATCTTACTTATTATACCTGTACCGTTATGTTGAAAAATATATATATATTTTTTTTATATATAATAAAAAAAAAAAGGGGGAGGGAACTGGTTTTAATGTATTGTGAAATACGAAATCTCATATACCAACTAAAAAACTGTAGAGAACAACAGTAGAAGAAAAAAAGAAAAAAAATCTCGCGACGGTTTTGAAATTATCAATTAAGGTCAAATTTATATTATTTTAGCTTTAGGAGAGCATTTTGTTACATCGAAATTACATTTTACAGCACTGGCATGGATAAATATTCGCGCTGTTTCACGTTATTTGCGTGTATTATACGACGGCGAACTTGGAAACCAATTTTCTTTTGTTTTTCACGACCCGATAAGGTTTATTGTATCAGTTTTTAGCATTCTATCTCGTTCTGTCGACCGTTACATAAAAAACTTCACCTCAATAACTATACGCATATAGACCGTATATTACATTATATTGTAGGTACAAAAGAGTTGAAAACATCACGACCGTGTCCACGTATAAGCAAAGACGAACGAAAACAATAGGAAAAAGGTTTTTTTTTTTCATATTCTTTTTCTCTTTTGGAGAGAACCGCACTCCACCCTGCAGACGATGACTTTATTTCGATGAATAATGCGCTTTTGAATATGGAAACCTTAAATAGTAATATTTTCAAATACAATAATACGTTTATCAATTGTACATTGTAATAAGCAATTAACCGATAATTTACGTACAATACATCTTATGTCGATGTATTTGAATAACTTACGAGTGCATACAATATTTTATATTCGAAAACAATGAAAATAATAAACCTAATGTGCATAATTGACACCAGTCGGACTCGGAACTATCGGTGAACTAATATGGAGAATACTCCTAGAAAAATATTTATGTAGTTCACGTATAATTGACCTATGAATACAGTTGAGATGTATAATTCACATTTAAAACCGATTCTCTCGTGGACTTTATAATTTTTTTCTCCATCGCTATTTCCATAACAACAGTGTATACATAAATACTTAAACGCGAAGCAAGTGACAAAAAAGTTTTTCGGAGTTCGAACGTATTATAATCGTGTTAAAAAAAAATAAAAAGAACCAAGCGTTTCCTGAATAATAATATTACAACACCCGGTCGGGGTATATCGATCGGTAAGATAATTAACACTGAATCTCAATAAATACTCCGTACAAACAGATTTTTTTTTTCAATTAAAATCATGTACGTTATTTATTATTTTTATTAATTATTTGTATTTATTTTACGCATTAAATACGTTATTTCGTTTCACCTACGCAAGTATACACGTATAATAACATTATGCATTGTTTTCGTTTTTCTTTTCAAGACGCGATTAAAGTGTGTACATTCGATTCACACACGCACACACACTCACACACACACACAAGTAATACGGACAGATGTGTGCGACAACATGGTATGTTAAACGGAACGAAAAATAAATAAATAAAACAACAAACGGTGCTGAGCCGCGCTCGAGCCGTTTGATATAAATGAAATATATTATAATATGGTACGCGTACGAGTTTATGATCGGATCGCAAGGACGGCCGCGTGGGCCAGTTGTAGACGTTGCAGTTGAATGAAAGCCCGCGCGGAAACGGCAATACCGATTATCGTGTACGCGTCGCCCCGGTAAATACGCGTGTAGCATTATTGTGACATGTGTATTATATTGCGAGGTTTTATACGTAACGTCCGAGCGATTGTTGATATAAATTAAGCGGCCATTGAATGACAACCGCGATAAATTATCCGAAACGACTCGGTAGACGTGCGCGGGTATGTGTGGGATGGATTTCGGTACCGAAAATCACATCGTTACCGGTACGATTTATTTACGCGTAAAAAAGTGGAGAGACAGAGAGAGAGAGAGACAGAGTGAGAGAGAAAAACGACGACAAATGGAGCTACGGTACGAAAAACCTGCAAATGAAATAAATGCAAATAGCGTATTTATTTCGATTACGTTTCTACGAGCGTCGGCGACGGCGGCGGCGGCGGCGGCGGCGGCGGTGGTGATGGTAAAATTCAGAGCAACGCTGCTGCGAGGATCGATTTACCGGTTTAATTTTGTAATTTTTTCGGGGCAAGCACGGCGTGGGACCGGGGGAAATGTTAAAAGTAATAGGATCGCGCGAGTTCAAAGGCCTAAAAACAGCGTGTAGGACGAGAAAAAAATAAATAAATAAATCTTCCCGCGCATAATGTACACAAGAAGATCGGACGGAAATAATTGAAACTTTTCGGGTGGGCGGCATAATGATTAAAGCTTCGAATCGCAACCGTTCGTGCTAGAGCGCTAAGAGGATGGGATGGAGGTAAAAGTCGCCGCGGCGATTTTGCGGGAAAACCGGCGGCGAATTGGTACGGGACGCGCAGCACGCCGGGAAACGACACGCGCTCCGACCCTTCAGCCCGTCGACCGTTAATTGTGGCGCGACAAACGCGTAACGACCCGCCGCCGCGAACGATGCGAACGGTTTTCGTAGGTTTTTTCGTTTTTCATTTGCTTTCGGGTTTTTTTTTTTTTTTGTTTTTCATTTCGAATACACTCTGTATAACCCAGCACCGTGAACACTTCGGGTTAGATTGTGCACCGGTGCGGATGGAGGGACGACCGGAGTACCCTTGGTGTTCGTGTTTTCCCGCACGGTTTTCGAACGTCTCGCTCAGCGCTGCTCGGCACATTAACGGTGAGCGTTACTCAAGAGCGTCATTTCAATATTTGCTAGGGTAGGCCATAATAATGACCGGCCCATTAAGTACTACAAAACTATCTATGCGGTGATCGCGTTCAAGGTACCGTTCCCTCTATCGCCGTGATCCGTGTGAACGTTTCGTACAAGTTTGAAACCATAGCCAAACTTGGGCGCACCAAGTTGACAACACACGTGTTCGCGGGGACGGCAAAACGCCTTTGCTGATAATAAGCGACTATCGACGGATCGATCGACATTATAAATTAACAATCGTTATCACCGGTTTTTGTATTGAAACGCTAAAAACGTGTTACTGAACCGAGGGACACGACATGGCAGTGAAACAGTTCTGGCTCGGGACGTGTTTCTTTTTCGCCACCGAACTTCGAAAGGACTTTCGCGTGGCCGCGTTTCAGACTTCTCGAGAACGCCATTGGACGTAGAATCACCGAACGAAAGTTTCAACAGGATTACACGACGTTTAGTTTAAGATATCTGAGAGAGCCGACTACGTGCACGTAACAATGGAACGCATAGGGTTTCCGCTAAGCCGTATTCGGGCATGTATGTGGCATATGGCATCGCACGTGATCGCAGCATCGAAATTATTATCACTGTTATTTTCAGGTATTATTCGGCGGTAGACGTTTCGGATGACGGGCAAGCAAACGGATTCGGAACGTAATCGTTTGCTGTACGAGAACCGTTTTCGTTTTCCACGCGCGCACGTTACGACCAAGACGAGTGCTCGCTACGAGATACACCCTGTACGTGTGACGATATCCCGTACGAGCCGTGCTATTGTATCGTTGTGCTGCGCGTCCGGTTGCGAATATTTCCGGCAAGACCACCGCGGCGGAGACGTTCGATAAAAGAACGTTCGTGGACCGTCCGAACGTGGAAGTAATTATTGTTTTCTCTCGCACTCCTTGGTTTTTTTTTCTTCTAAAACTATGTACTTAAAGAAATAATGCAAAATGTACACTCACGAGAACTGGGTGAAGATCGACGCCGTACATGTCCAGCCACTTGACTTTATCCAAGAAGTTCAGCTCGGCGACTGCAGGCACTTGACCCCTGTGGAATGGCTGTCGTTGAGTACAATCGTGAAATGGAAAGAGGAAAAAAAAGGAAACGTAGCACGCGAGGGAACGTTTATAGAACGCGCACTTACGTGAGTTCTTTGTGTATTTCTCCGATTCGGGTCTCGAGCTCTGCGTTCTGATTGGACACGAACCGGAATTCAGACACGTACCCGGGGGTGTGTCGTCTAGGGTCGAAGTCTCCTAGTTCGGCTGCAACGCAATATAAAAAAAAAACAATACTGAAATGAGTAATAATTAATAGGTTATAAGCTGAGCGTCCTACGAAAATATGAGCATGTTTACCGGTATAATAACCGATGTTCATATATTCGTGAAACACCCTGTATGCATAAGCAACGTTGTGTGCACGATGTAATATTATGATTATAATAACGTGTACGCGCGACGAGCGAGGCAAGTTGATTCGCGTTAAGCAATTAATATATATTTCACGAACGCATTTCCGTATACTCGCAGAATGTGACTTGATTATTATCGTCCGTTTGGTGACTGTGTAATAAAATCTGCAGTTGACTGTTGTATTATACATTCGTATCGCATAATAATGTGCATAGGCACGTCCGTACACATGTACGCATTCTTGTCCGACGCGATTTCGCACGTACACGACACGTTTACTTCACCCCGTCTTTTACGCGGTCGCTAAATTATTTCGTTCAAAAGTCCCGACGGAATACATCGACGTCTAGACTTTATTTAATTCGAACAATTAAGATGCAAGAGTATTATTCATTTATTCGATCCAATAAATTTGTCAAATTCGTAACATTTGAAAACCTATGCTTGCTGAATTTTGTAAGATGCGAAGATAAAAAAAAAGACTCCGATGGAGACGGTTTGAAAACACGATCTCGGATTATAATATCAAAAATGCTGTCCGAGATAAACAACTAGGAATCGAATGGAAAAAAAAATCGTACGCTATATATAAGTACATAATATCTGCTAGAAAAACAATACAATATTTCAAGCAAAAGCGTGAAATGTTCGAAATATTATTTTCAGTATCGTGTTTCGCCGGGTATATATTATAACGGACATGTCTATACAGATTATTATCGTTTATGATCGAACGTTTCGCGCAAATCAAATAGAAAATACACCCTAAGTCCTCTTTGCGTATAAGAATGCTATTCGCGCGCGTTTTTATATATATATATATATATATAAGTATAGTATATGTAATATATTAGAGGACCTTATTTTTTTCAATGAAAGAAGAAAGCACATATATTGTACGATCTGTCGTAGAAGTTGTTGGCTTGCGCGGGCAGATAAATTAATGCGCGTGCTCATCCGGCTCTTCCTAATAAGCACCTCAATTTACAATATTTATGGCCCGCACCGGGGCGAGCTCGGTTTGATCTTTATTGCTTCCCATTTACATCGGAGAAAAAACTATATACGTATATACAAGTACACGGAAAAACTACACCCTTAACAAAATAATATATTTTTCTCGAACGCCACTGCCACTACGATAAATACGCGCCACGACATTAGCAAACACAACAGATTTACGCAGTAACCGGCCGAATTTTTCGAAACGATTCCACGTGCGTATACTGCGAGCGCAATATTTAGAACTATGCCGTACGCTTTCGGTTATAAAGGTCGACAGAAGTCGCCGAACCGGAGAAAAAAATTAAGGCAAATCGTCCCGACGAATCGATTAAGACAAATTAGGAAATCCACAGATTACATTTAAACGTCTTGTTTTCTAACAGACGAACAAGATTTTATTTGACAACACGTATTCGCATAGGTTTTCGTGAAACTGTTTCGGTTTTACACCGGGATAATATTATGCAACAGAAAATTATCATGAATGGGAAATGCGCAGTTTCGCTGTGGTCCATCGGAGTCGACCGAAATCCAAAACAATTACCATGCATAAAATAGAAGGGGTTTTCGTTCTCTTGCCGAGTATTAAAAATTTAACTTTTCGGGGTCTGGTGCACTTAAACATCAGCTCTGCGGCGAAGCCGAATGGAAATCGGTAGAAAACCATAATCGCGGTGCATCGTGTAATTATCATATAAAATTTGACGCGGCTCGATGCGGGCACGTGCAACCGTACACGTTATAGCTGACGGTTCGGACGAGTCGCAGTGTTTCACTATCCTGCCAGGGGATTTCGCACACGAGAGAGAGAGAGTGGATCTGTATTATACGCAAAGTTATTATAGTATGTATTTTTTATTCGGATTATTTTTTTACGCAATGCGCTCGCGCGTGAAACACACCGGCGTAGTCCTAAGTTTTCGACCATCGGAATTGATATTTATTACCTGGCCGCTGACGCCGGGACGCCACCGGTAAACGCGCAACCGTGTGCGTTTATACACCTACCCATTTCCTATGCGTCCAAATGTATATACATATATATGTGTACGCGCGTGTGTGCGTGTATTTTCATCGTGCATCCATTGAGATTAATTTTCACTCACCAACGCCGAGAAAGTCCCATTAAAACTTCATAATACCGGATTTACACGTCAGCTTTCCGTTTGGAAAAATTTACGACCCGAAAAGCAAAAACAAATAACGAAAAAAAAAAAAAACGAAAATGTCTAGAAACCCCCGTTGTGCGAAGAAACAGTGGGAGTTTTTTATTTTCGCCTTTCGTCTGCACTGGAATAATGCCGTGCAGTTTACGAACGTTCGATTGTTCGTTTAATGTTGCAAATGTTTAGTAAAACCCAATCGCTGTGCCTACGCACAAATGATAAATCGGAAAAACATCCAAATGCCTCGCGTCATCTCGTTCGTCCAGATTTAATCTAATCCCGACCCATCGAACGCAGCTGCGTTATTCTTTAGCGACAGCGTTGTTTTCCTTCAAATTTATATTTTACTTATATCAGTATCATACTCTTTTACTCTTGATCGTCTTGATTTCACGTTTTGATCGAAAAATAAAGTTTTTTTTTTTTATTATTATTATTTCTTTTACGTCTATTCAAATCGTGTAAAACTTATTGGATTACTACGTAATATTATTTTAATAATAATATCAAATTTCTCTTAAAACAAATTTATTTTTTAAACGATGTATGAGAACACGGTTTTTGTTCTTCATACTATGCAAGTTTACATTGTTAATAAAAAAAAAAATGTAAATCAAATGATTCAATTTCTGTTGTACACCCGTCTAAAAAAGTTTTAAAAACTATGTAAATTCTATTAAAAAACGTTCAAACAATAATTTAAACAATTAATTTCATCTGTCATAGCCGTTTAATTGATTCTTTGAAAAAGAAAAATGTTTTAAAACTAATTAAAAACTTATCATCATATTTATACAGAACTTATTTAAAACTAATACCTGTAGTAACTACATCATTTCCTAACTAAAATGTAGGAAATTCGAAATTGGTTTCACAAAAAAGAGTGTTTTATTAACAAAGCACCTTTACGGTTCTTTTCTCTTTACGGCGCACGTTTAGAAATTATTGAATTTTTGAACCTGTCAATATAAGTTTAATCGCAAAAATTATTATTATTACTTTAACTATCAGCAAAGTCATGTTGTAAAGGACTACCGCTGACTAGATTTTTGCTTACTTTGAACTAAATTATCTATTATACCATAGTCGCGCGCATAGTTGTAAAACTTTTAACAAAATAACTTGTTTACAACTCCCGCTTTTCAAAATTGCTGTCGTGACGTTGCAATAATGTTTTTGAGCCATAAACACAAGCTGTTTATTATTTTTTCACAAAATCATTATTGCACACACACACACACGCGCGCGCGCACACACAAATATACACAATGGGTCTTGTATGATAAATATGCGACGTTTCGCGTTACGCAATAGTTATTAAAAATCATATATTATTACGAACTATTGATATCAGTGTTGTAAGTCTTACGGACACCCACTCGAACTCGTAAAAGTGAATCGCACCTTCAGAATGTAAGAACGTTAAATCGTATTATTATAACCTTGCGAACGGACAGGATCATCCAGAGAAATGGAAAAATTTAAAAAAATTCGCAAAAAAGGTAAAAACATATTAACTATACGATAAGTCCAACGGTGATACGCATTATGTATAGAAATTAATAACAGTAAGATAGAAATGTCCTTCCGTTTTACGCATCGACAAGCTATGAACGTAAAACCTCCGCAGTCGTCGGTCATCCTTGTCGTGGATTCTTTTTACGCTAAACCGGAGATCCTATGGCTTCAACTCCTGCACAACTAGGATCTTCGAGAAGTCGGAAAGAGCTCCGTGCAAAATATCAGCGTTCGATTACGGGGACGTATACGTATTGAACACCGTCAAACGGGCATTGATCTTAAGACATGGCATTTTTAACCTTAGGACTCTTAATGGTGATGTAACGCACATTCCGTTTCCAGCATTGCATATGCTCTGTTTGTAATCCCTTTTCTTTACGCCCATGACAGTTGTATGATAAATTTTCCCGAATTCCAGAAACACCCTGAACATTTTCATTATTGTTGATTATTGTATTACTGTTATTGTTGTTTCGCGATAAAGGGACGAGAGGAGAATGCTGCACGAAACGATTAAATACATCGCGCGCGCGCGTGCATACGGTCCAGCGGTCCTAATCTACCGCGCAGTTAAATTGCCTATGGTTAACGCCGGGACGTTTCAGTTATAATATCATCACCGTTATTACAATATTATTATTATTCATTTCGTTGCGATACTTTCCGCCGTCTGAAGGTATATACACGATCTATTATTTACGCTCGTAAAACACGGCGACGAATTATAAGAACTTTTCTACAACGATTTATATATCCTATCGCACTTGAGTGTAATAGTTTAATTATTCATAATATTTAACCATGCGTCTGTGCACGGTTTTATCGGTGCCGATTCCACGATGAATATTATTATTATTGTTTTCGGTCCGTTAACGTAACGAATTTTTGGCAAAACCGAGTCTTCCAACCACCGTTTGCCACGAAACGCGGATTTCGGTCGGCTTTTTCAACCGCAGTGTTTTAATTATCAAATGTCATTTGAAAGTATAATTGTTTTGGTCCGAACGAATGAATAGTTCTTATTAGCGTTGGTCGAAAACATTCCGATTTTGTTTCGAAAACATCTTACAAACAAATTTCAAGAAAATCTAAATATTTTCGAACTTTATAACGTGAACAACTGTAAGTCCGTAAATTTACTATCGAAATATTCCGTTT